AAGTATTTTTAAAATTAACTAAAGAACTTTTATTCGAAAGAGCACGCCAAAACTAGTTTTTAATCCGAACATCGATTTTATCTAATTTCAACACTTAAACGTTATAGTCCATAGTTATAGAATAGAATATAGTATTTAATTAGTATTTTAACAGGGAAGAGCCATATGTATGGATCTGTTGAATAAATCGTTATTATTATTATTATTATTATTATTATTAAATGGATGTATTCTTATCTGTCCGGAAGATATCAGTGTGTTCAAATTAAAAATCACATTTCATCAATAGCTCCTGTTTCATTTGGCGTACCACAAGGAAGTATTCTGGGACCGCTTCTATTTATTTTATTTATTAACGATCTCCCTTTACATAGTAACCAGAACGTAGATCTTTATGCTGATGATTCCACCTTGCACTCCTCTGGAAATTCCATGAACCAGTTGAATTGCACACTCTCGTCTGCCATGGAAGACATCGAGCAATGGAGCACATTTAATGGGATGGTGATTAATGGCGAGAAATCAAAATCTATGGTGATTTGTACATATCAAAAATCTACGAAAATTGGCTCTTCTGAACTCCATATCAATTACAACAATACTGTCCTTGAAAATGTTAAATCAAAAAGATTGCTGGGTGTGATTGTTGATAATCATCTCTGTTGGAAAGCCCATATCAATGATCTAGCTTCTAATCTGAGTAAACTTATCGCTCTGTTCCGCCGAATCAAAATGTATCTGCCACTTCAAACAAGGATTCTATTTTATAAAACGTTCTTTCAACCAAGGATTGATTATTGCTGCACCGTTTGGGGACAATCACCACACACTTCAAGAATATACAAACTACAAAAACTTATCCTAAAACTAATTTATGATCAAAACTTTTCAACTTTTAAAATCAAAACTTTCTCCATCTAAACCACTTTTCGAACAGTCAAACATTTTACCAATAAAGTACAGAGTTATGTATAGGGTAGTTTGCCTAGTTTATAAATCCTTAAATAACTTGACTCCAGACTATTTAAGTAATATGTTTAAACCATTGTCAACAATTTCCCAGCGACATACAAGAAGCACTGCCAATATGGACTTATGGATACCAAAACTATAAACTATCAATCACCAGGAGTGGACTTCGGTACGCTGGAGCATATTTTTATAATATGTTGCCACCAGATATTAGATCTTCCAGCTCATTTCAAGCATTCAAGCGTAAAGCCCATGAATTGTTTTTGGATATGTATAAAAACAAGACGCCTGCTCAGGCGTTCACACTGGCCTGAAAATAACGAGATACGTGCAAAAGGCAGGAATACAAATCTTAAACCGCAAGCAAATTTTATGGACTTTTTAAAATATAAATATTCTGTAAATACCGAAATAAAAGATGAAAATCTCAAGACACAAGCTTGAAAATATAATAACACTATACATAGTGTTTTCGATTCTGGTTCCAATAACATTATCACGAAAAAGATATGTCCAAAGGGGCCGAATTGTTGTATTATGAAATATGATACCATACTTGTATTAAAATTCGCGTCGAACTAATGTTATTGATACAATAATGGTTCTAGTTCTTGTTGGTATTTTGAACGCACGCTTTATCTTTAGTATAGCTACCACAAAGCTTTTCGCGCAGTTTATATTTCGTGGAGTACTAAATATTATATTTTGTGGTTTTCGAGTCATTACACAAAGAAAAACACATTAATTCAACACGCAAGAAAGTCCAGAGTACGACACAACGTAAAATACATAGGAAACCGGCACAATTCTTTGAAAATTCAACGAAACTGTGTAAAATATAGTTTGATCACTCTGTGAAAAGCCGCCATTGCAGTTCGGAATTGTGCGCGTGCGTACAAGTGTATAGGCTAATAAACGAAAAATGTACCACAAGCATGGCTTGAGTCGGCTATTACGTACATATATACGAGCTTATTACTATACTATTTAAATTATGGAACCGAGAGAATCGATGGCATTTAAATGGCTTAATCGTTGCACCCTGAGCCTGCGATGAGCTAACGCAAACTCGATTTCTCGACTACGAAAAAAAACAGAAAAAGGGGGATTTAAGACACTTGGCCTTACAGGCCAGTGTAATAACTCATAAGATGTACAGTGTATGTTAATTCCAATTTTTTATACCTAGATCGATATGTACTTTGTGTAATTATGTATACTGTAGTCTGTAGAAATGTAAATTGTTATACTGCATGTAAATATATTCGATTATATAGTTAACTTTAGAAGGTCCAGTGGAAGATTAGCGAAAGCTAAACTGGCATATTTCCTTGTAAATTAACCTTCTTTAAATAAAGTTATAATAATAATAATAATAATAATAATAATTTTAATACAAAATTATTATAAAGTTTTACAAAATTTGCTTTGTTTACAAAAGTTATTATGCATAGATTGCAAATTTGTTCTCCAGATGCATCGTCACCGGCGCTGTGACATCATGTGCAATGGGTCTATATTGTTCAGGTAATTCTGTAGCCTGCGAACAGGCTCTCAAGCTGAATTGAGGGCCTGTATCGATGACTAATGAATTTGAATATCTGCGTCTCAAATCGTGACGCGAAATTCTCATTGGTCAGATGCTATAATTTATATTATTCCGCTGAGCTCTATATATGTCAACTGTAGCACTATGCATAGAAAACACATTAACTGATCAAATTGGTCTTGGCCATCTTATCTCAAAGCACGAAATGTTCTGTTTTGAGAAAACACAACCTCGTTCCCAGGGCTTCAGTGTGAGGACGAGGCGAGACACTTCGTCCTCACATTGAAGCCCTGGGAACGAGGTTGGAGAAAACAGTATTTAAAACATTTAAACTTTTGCTTCAATATCTTATATTTCGAAAAACAGTATAAACTGTACGGTCTAAATTTAGTTTGCATGGTCTAAATTTAGTTTGCACGAAAGTTGTAAACAACACCATATAAGGATAGACATTCCATATTTGGAAAAACGAACGTTACGGGGCAGATATTCAAATTTTTTAGTCATCGATGCAGGCTCTCAATTCAGCTTGAGAGCCTGTTCGCAGGCTAGTAATTCTGTAATTTAATAAGGCGTAAAAAAAAGTACCTGTGGTTCCGGTTCCCGACCGACCCTATTTTTTTTCTGCCGACCCTATTGTTTTTTTCAGCGCGATTGACCGTACGACTTTATTTTCTCCAGGTGGTTGCGGGCTGCTCATACAGCGTGCCAAAATGGCGTCTGTTGTCACACTAATTATTGAACCAAATTGCCTAAATTCGTCCATAGGAAATACGCATCTCTAGTTAATATTGATGTCGGGACTCTACTGCAAATCGCCCAGCAAAAAACCGCTAAAACCATGAAAAAAATATTCAAAAAAAAAATTTATTTCCGACCTACCGACCCTAATTTTTTCACGATATGAAACCGGAACCACAGGTATTTTTTTTTACGCCTAACTACAGACTGTTATTCAAACACAGTATTACGTCTATTACTGAAATGCGGCTTAGAAAAAGTTCTGTCGCACAAGATTTTTCAGGTAGTTGCTTTCCTACCAACGAAAGCTTGTTCATAAACTGAATTAAATATTATTGTCAATATTCATCTAAACTATAAATTGGATCAGTAATTTTAGCTTATATTATTTGTAAATAAAGCTCTTTTCTTTAATAGATGATTTGAAATCAAAGACTTTGGTTAATTGTTCTAACGTTAATCCTGACGTTGTCCCTGCGAGTTCACAAAATAACGTTACTACAACGTTAATTTTCAACGTTTTCTGGACGTTAATCGAACGTTGCGAGAACGTTGAACCAACGTCGCGTTCTAACGTTTAGGTTAATAGAGACCTTACGATTTTAGGACGGCAACGCGACGACGACGGCCAAAACAAACTCCTTCAAATAAATGGTAGTAAAGATGATAGTTCGTCGTATATTATCAATCGTACGAATTTAATACAGTCTTAGAAATTGAAGACATGGGTTTTATGGTTGGGAAGAGTTCTGTTGAACCCAGTTTGAAGTTGCACTTGTTGGTCTTGTTGCGGCTTGAAATGCAGCCGTGGTATGAAGACGTGAAAATCTGTGATTTGGTTTTGTCAACAGAGCGAGGACAATGTCTAAATTAGTCATATATTGTAATTATTCAATTCTTTTTCAATGATTTATTGTATTGGTAGCCGTTGCCGTCGCGTTGCCGTCCTAAATCGTAAGGTCTCTAGTCCTGACCATAGATATCTTATATACACTAGATAGCGCATCTCTTTTAGTAAAATTGAAGCCAAGAATATTCCAGCGGTTACCCCCATTTGAATAGATGGCGGCCATGTTGGTCGTTCCCACTTGCTAATAAACGCTTAAAAACAACAATAACTCGCATCATTTGAATAGTTAAAAAACGTATTTGGAATAGGGTTAACTTAATGTTTAAGTTCCCTGGTTAAGAAACACAAAACATACGAATCTCCTCATTTCATGGGAACGACCTGAGACTGCAATCACAGCTTCAATTTTTGAATTGCAGAATAATTAGATGCACTATCTAGTGTATATAAGATACCTATGGTCCTGACGTTGTCACAACGTTGCTGCGAGTTCACAAAATAGCGTTACTACAACTTATAATACCAACGTTATCTCCACGTTCAGCAATGTTCGTACAACGTTGGCACAACGTAATTGTGCTAGTTGGGAACGTCTTGCACCTTCGGCGCGAAAAGTGTTTTTTTTTTCAAGATCTGCCCCCGCCGCTTTCCAGTCCTTCCGGCGCCCCTGTTTCATGGGTGCAATTGTTGCGGCGGTCTCGAGTCCACAAAACACACTGTTTCCCTCGGTCTCGGTAAATACCTTATTCGTACTTAATCGCGCAAATATTAAAACCCTCGAAATTTACACACGCGAAATTAAGATAATTTTTTTATCCCGGTTGTTGTGTCCTTTATTTCATGCATAGAACATAATGAAACATAACGTGAATATAAACTTTACAATAACTTTCCAGTCTGTTCGATCGTTTTCCTAACACATGTCCTTTCTCCCATAACACCGTCCATGTGGTCAGCGGTCATTGTCAGTCACTACAGTTCTCCCCTTCTTGGATTAGAAACCTATCATGCGGTAGAACTATAACCGTAATAGTCTGGTTGTCGTTTTATAGAGCGACGAGGTCGTTGAGCAACAATTGTTTCTGGAGGTGTTGTTGCAACATCTGGGGCAGTTGTAACTATTATTGGCACTTTCTTAGCCGTAGAGTGGCGCATGAGGCGGTGATTTCCATCGTCGATTAGGATGGAGTCGCCCTTGACGGCGGTGACACGAAACGTATTGGCACGCCACGGTA